GGAGAGGAGGAGAGAGAGGGAGAGGGGAGAGAGAGGGGGAGAGAGGGAGAGAGAGGGGGAGAGAGGGAGAGGGGAGAGAGGGAGAGAGAGGGAGAGAGGGGGGAGAGGGAGAGAGAGGGGGGAGAGGGGGAGAGAGAGGGAGAGGGGAGAGAGAGGGGAGAGAGGAGAGAGGAGGGAGAGAGGGGGGAGGGGAGAGGAGGGGGAGAGAGAGAGGGAGAGGAGGAGGGAGGGGAGAGGGGGGAGAGAGGGGAGAGGGGGGGAGGGGGAGAGAGAGAGGGAGGGGGAGGTCTGGAGGAGAAATTCTAGTCTCAACCATAGAAACAGTGAAGTGTTACCTGGCCTCAACCTGTCATTGATAACCCTCTGGGTAAAGAAAAAGTTACTGTCTAAGTTCACTGTCCATTGACCCTCGTGGATAGTGCTACTGGGTGGACGAGGGGTATAAAAGGATTGGGCTGAGGTATAATTCCACCCCTATCCTCCGATAGGCCTTTAACTCCTCTCCCATTTGGTTTATCTTTTATAATTTTGAAAAGTTAATAGAAAATGTAGATTCTCAGATATTTCACAATGTGCAATTGAGTTTTGAAGTTCCATGATTTTTTTTCTGGCCTGAAATTTCACCTAGTTTTAGGCTTAAAACGTTTCTGCCAAAGTATCAGATGGGTCCTCGTTAATTACCCTATTGGTATAAGGAACTATTCCACACACCAAGCAACAGTTTATAAAGAGGGTGAGACTTAAGCAATAGAAAGCATTTATGGAACCCATCATTTTGACCCCATTATGTTATGAGATCTTTAATCATACAGCTCACTGATCGATCTGTAATTGAAATTCAGAAGAATTAATGAACCTTTTCATTAGATTGCTTATTGCTATTTAGATATTAAGCCAGTCAGGAACCTGGGTGTCTTGTTCGACACTCAAATGTCTTTTCTTCCCCATATCCAAGCCATGACCCACTCTGCCTTCCCTTACCTCCGTAATAATAATAATAATAATCCTTGCATTTGATATAGCGCTTTTCACGTCTTCTAGACATCTCAAAGCGCTGCACAGAACACACTGTAAAGTGAATGAACTGTATATTTGTGGGCGAACGCGGCAGCCAATTGCGCACAGCAATGTCCCACAAACAGTCGTAGATTGAAAATGACCAATTTATTATTGTTTTGTTTTGGAGGGATTATTATTAGGCTCTGTGTGGAGTAAGGAAACTTGCCCAAGGTTTTGCCCTCTGCCTGGAATTGAACTCAGGTCTCTCGCTTGCAAACCGAGTGCTCTAACCACTGAGCAACAGGACTCCACAACATCGCCGAACTCCGCCACTACCTCACCCCTCAGGCCCCTGAAACTCTTGTTCATGCCTTCATCACCTCCAGGCTCAACTATGCAAACGCGCTGCTTGTCGGCCTTCCCACCTCCTCCCTCCACAGGCTGCAGATAATCCAGAACTCTGCAGCCCGTGTCCTCTCCCGCACCAAACTCTGTGACCCCATCTCCCCCACTCTCGCCCGACTCCATTGGCTCCCTATCCTTCAGAGGATCCAGTTCAAGATCCTGGTCCTCACCTACAAAGCCCTCCATGGCCTCACCCCACCCTACCTCTGCGACCTCCTAACCCCCTACCAACCCGCCCGCTCCCTCCACTCAGCCGGCTCTGGCTGCTCCACGTCCCACGACCCACCCGCCCCACCATTGGCAGGAGAGCCTTCAGCGACTCTGCCCCCAACCTCTGGAATTCCATCCCCTAATTACTCCGCCTCGCCCCCTCCTTAGCCTCCTTCAAGTCCTGCCTCAAAACCCTCCTCTTTGACCATACCATCGGTCACCCCCCTCCCCTCCCTTCTCCCCCCCCCACCCACCGATCCCAGCTCGGGTCTGAAATGCTGTACACTGTCCAGCGCCTTGGGACGTGCTCCCGAAGTGGAAGGCACTATACAAATGTAATCTTGTTGTTGTTGTTGTAGATCTCATCCAATTTTGCTTCTGGGAGACCAAGTATAAACTTTATTGTATTTTCAAGTTATTCTCCACTTCATTGATTGAATAAAAATAATAATAATCCTTGCATTTGATATAGCGCCTTCTCACGTCTTTGAGATGTCTCAAAGCGCTTCACAGAATTACTGTAAAGTGAATTGACTATATATCTTGTGGCCGAAACTCAGCAGCACAGCAGTATCCCACAAATAGTTGTGGATTGAGTGACCAAATTATTATTATTATTGTTTTTTTTTAAGCGATTATTACCATGGAAGTGATCTGCCAATCGATTAACAACCGGATTCCTACTTCCTGATAGGTAAACAGAGCGTGTGGCGTAAGAAAACTTTGGCCCTGCCGTGAATCAAACCCAGGTCTTCTCTCTTGCGAGGCGAGCGCTCTAACCACTAAGCTACAGGTCTCCAAAATATGTTGTAAGTTTGGGGATAGAGTGGCTAATGGCGTTATTTATTATTTGTCCAGCAATGCATAAGACATCACACAATGTGGATTTCGATGGATTAGTCTTCTTACAGTTGGATGATGCCCCCGGCTGTGAGAACTGAATTCCATGGGTTGTCCCAGATACCTTTTCTCAACCCATGATTCTCAGTTCTGCAGCTTGGAAGCTTTTTCATCTCCAAACACAGTGAAGATAGTAAAAGTGGACAGAGTGGTGAGAGAAAGCAGAATCATGGCACTTCGAAGGTAAGTGATCAAAAAAAGGCTATCATGGGGATTAAATACTCAACAGTTTCCAGATTTATTTTATTAGCAGTACAATATTAAAATGTCAAAGCAATTAGCCCTCACAGTTATTTTACCGTTTGAAACAGCTCAGTTTAAATTAACACTCTACCTTTTTTATTAAGGTTATTAATGTAGATATTTCTGTATATATTGAGATTTTGTGCAAAGTAAGATGCTTTTGCTTTATGTATAAGAACTGAGGCTATTAGAGAAACAACAACAACAAAATTACATTTATGGAGCGCCTTTCACGTCGGGAGGACGTCCCAAAGCGCTGAACAGTCAGATGTCGGGGCCCGGTATGGGGGAGGGGTGATGTAGTGGTGAGGGAAGGCAGAGAGGTGGGAGGGAGACCAAAGGCACGGTCGAAGGGAAGGGTCTTGAGACCGACCTTGAAGGAGGCAAGGGAGGAAGCGAGGCCAAGGGACCATGGGATGGAGTTCCAGAGTGTGGGGGCAGAGAGGCCGAAAGCCCGGCCACCGATGGTAGGGTGGGTCGGGTGGAAGACATGGAGTAGGCCGGAGCCTGATGAACGGAGGGAGCGGGCAGATTGGTAGGGAGTCAGCAGGTCAGAGAGGTAGGAGGGGACAAGGCCAGGGATGGCCTTAAAGGTGAGGACGACGATCTTGAACTCGATCCTCTGGGGGATGGGGAGCCAGTGGAGTCGGGTGAGGGTGGGAGTGATGGGGTCACGGAGCCTGGTGCTCGAGAGTACACGAGCTTCAGAGTTTTGGATGATCTGCAGCTTGTGAAGGGAAGAGTTGGGAAGGCCGATGAGGAGGGAGTTCCCGTAATCAAGCCTTGAGGTGACGAATGCGTGAGTGAGGGTTTCGGCAGCCTGAGGGGTGAGGCAGTGGCGGAGTCTGGCAATGTTGTGGAGGTGGTGGTAGGCAGAGCCGGTCATGGTGCAGATGTGGGGGAGAAAGGAAAGTTCAGGGTCAAACAAGACACCCAGGTCCCTGTATGTATGTATGATCTGGAGCAATGGTACATCTTCACCTATTAACTGCCTGTAGACATAAGTGACAGATACACTTCTCAGGTGACAGCAATCTCAATTGGGTAATTTCATCAATTTTGAACAGCTATTCACTGACCTCACAGCAATTTTGAGGTTAAAATACAACAATGTTAGGGCCTAGGAACTGAAATATAATTTAAAGTAGTAACAACAGCCTTGACGGCTCTGTGATCTGGATGATTTACTGAAACAGAAAGGCGGGAAAGGATCACGTGGGCCCTGGAGGGAGAACCTACTGTTACATTGAAAGGGGAGATTGAAAAGGAGGGGAAAAGTGTCAATGCAATACATTGGAAAGGGGAGGAGTTAGGACAATATAAAAGGAGGGGAGTTTGCTGAACTCGGAGTCGCTATCACCTTATGTGTTATCAAAGAGATACGTTTCTGACCTGAGAGCTTTGCCTCCAGGTCAAAACTGTTTTTTTCTTTGTTAACTAACCTTGGGTAAAACCTGCTAATGTCATAGTTTAGTGTCAGGGTATTTTCTATTCCTTAAATTTGCGACAGTTATCATGTTCCTGGTAGTGTGAGTTAAACATAGGGTTAAGGACCAATAAAACACTGTTGAGTTTTCTATACAATGCTTCTCCATTCTCTATAAAAATCAAGGAGGGAGGAAACACAAGCAGGTTATTGCTGAAGTCAGCTGTCTGGAAGTGCAAAGGACGCAGATGAATGCATCCTTTTGTTGCACAATAAGGTATTGGGTTTACCTGTAATCGTGTGTATATATTAATAATAATCCTTGCATTTAATATAGTGCCTTATAACACCTTCAAGACATCTCAAAGCGCTTCACAGAATATACTGTACAGTGAATTGACTATATTTTGTGGGCAAAATGCAGCAACCAATTGAACACAGCTCACAGGTTTTGAACCTACGAACTTCTAACCCAGAGGCAAGAGTGCTATCAGGCTGGCACTATGGATACCTATAATAACCTTTTATCGATTGCAATACCCCAACAAGAAGCTGCTCCAAGGTGCTGACCGTACTTTGTACAATAAAAATATATTTTGGACTCGGACATGCACTTGAGAAATGTAACTTCATCTCAGCTCAACAAAAACCAAGCAATAAAATATCTGTGTGAAAAGCAAGCAGAAAGTAGCAACTTCTATGAGTGTTGAGAGTGTGTGCCTAACCACTAGCCTGGACTATGCTGTAAAGATCAGGTATTAATCCAGTAACAGATGATAACCAATTGGACCACAGTAGTTATTTTCAACATCGACATTTGCATTGATCTAAAACCAAAATATTGTTGACATTTTAAAGGGAAAAAACCCAATCTGATTTGTCAGATTGATAACAACACATTAAGCTACTTTCATAGCTCCTGAAATGTATTTTTTGCATCTTTAAAAGGTTGACCGTCAGCAAGCCACTCTGGTGGTTATCAGTTCAAAGGCAAGGCAAATTCTCAACGGTTGTTACCAGAGATTAGCAGAAACCTCAAAAGGAAATGATTCACTGACCTGCTTTCATAGGCAGTTGTTAGAAAGCCACATAGGAATCATATCTGGGCTAGCAGCTCAAGACGTCCGATGGCAGTGTTTGCTCTGCAATTTATAATTTTACACAGCCCGACCTCCATTTGGCAAAGGAGACATTTTGAATAGTGAGAAACAAACTGATGTCCATCTGAGTCATCAGTAGATCGAATGGCCAGCTTCATCACAGCGTGAAGTCAGCATAAACCTGTCTGTACCAGGAGGAAGGAGAAATTGTACTGAACAGCAGAACCAAAGAACACGGCCTGCGATTGAAGCAGCTTAAATTCAAAACAAATCTGCAGAAACATTACTTCAATGAGTGAATAGTAAATGTAGCTTAGTGGTTAGAGTATTCACCTCGCAAGTGAGAGATCTGGGTTCGATTCCCGGGCAACAACAAGATTACATTTGTATAGTGCCTTTCACATCGGGAGGATGTCCCAAGGCGCTGGGGCAGGGCAAAATGTTGGGCAAGTTTCCTTACTCCACTCTGTTTACCGAGCAGTATGTAGGAACCTGGTTGTTAGTCGAATGGCAGATCACTTTTCCGGGGGTAAGAATTGCTTCAAATAAAAAAAAAGGTCACTTCAATCCACGACTGTTTTGGGACACTGCTGTACGCAATTGGCTGCCGCGTTTCGCCTACAAAATGTACCGTCAATTCACTTTACAGTATACTCTGTGAAGCGCTTTAAGAGGTCTTGAAGATGTGATAAGGTGCTATATCAAATGTAAGGATTATTATTTATTATTGTGGAACAGGTGGTTGATTTTTTATTAATATGAAACAGCATTGATTCAAGAACGAATTAGATAAATTTCTGCTACGAAATAATATCTCGGGATACAGTATAGTTTGGTACATGACATGTGCAAGTGCCTGCCAGGATAGTGGAAGACAAACTGGATGGTCGACTGTCACCTAGCAAGTTCTTATGTTCTAAATTCCCACTATATTCCTTTTCAATTAATACAGAAGCACCGACTCCAGTTGCCAAATTAATGGTTCAAATTAATGACAAACAAATGTTTGTCCGATCTCAGGTAAAACAAATCTTCTGTTTTAATTCCATTTTGATGGGAAATGTAGCTTTAAAGCAAAAATGACTATTCTCATGCTGTCATCTCCAGCATCTCACCTGCAAATTGATCCAATCAGAAATCCAATTTGACACAGTGGAGCAAATCACCGATTCACCACATTGTCAATATGACTGGTGTATTTTATAACACTTATATATAAAACTATATAATAGTTTTCTTTTTGGCTCAGCTCCTTTTTAATTACACTTTATTTAAGTATGGATATAAATATCAGGTGTCCACTTGGCTCAGGTGGTAGAACTCATCACCTCTGGGTCATAAATATTGTGGGTTCAGTCCCTACGTCAGAATTCATAATGCATGACTTTGCAATACAGTGCTAGGGATGTGTTGCATTGTTGAAGGTCCTGTATTTCAACTCAGATATTAAACCAAGTTCCTGTCTGCCTGTTCAACTGGACATTAAGGAACCCAGAGCACTATTTAAAAAGAAGAGTTTCGCACGATGACCTGACCAATGATCCCCCAGATAAAATTGGTTATTCACTTCATTGGCTTTTTGTGGGGAATGGTTGTGCACAAATGGCTGCATTTGCCTAGAAATTACAGTAAATCCTGTGAGGCTTGTTGAGACATTCCCTCGATGTGAAAGGCACTGGATCGAATGCAAGAATGATTATTATTTAAACAAAAGAAATGGGTAAACAGTGAGTATAGTATTCAGAATGTACATATTGGTGCTGCCAAGCATTTTTCCTCTTATTATATTCACAGTTTATTTACATCACTGTTTGAGCTGTGGCATGAAAGCAGCCAGTTCTTGGGAATACAGAACTAAAAAAGGAGAATGATGTAAATAGATCAGATGTTTATTGATTACTGAACTGGTGAAATAAATAATCATTGCAGGTCTAACACTCGGCCTTTTTAATCGGAAGGCCAATGTAAGCTCTTTGTGCATCAGCCTGACTCAGTGGTAGCATTCTCTCTCCTGAGTCAGAAGGTTGTAACAGAGACTCGAAGGCAACACTGAACAGATACAACAGATGTTTTATTAACAAAAGACAGATTAGTTTTGTGGGCATTTGGCCAACATATGCAGCCAATTCACTTTACGGTATATTCTGTGAAGCACTTCGAGACGTGTCTCTGCCTCCACCCTCAACTTCAGGACTACTGGCGTCCTGACCGACAGCCTGTCCAACATCAAGTCCTGGACGAGGGACAACTTCCTCCAGCTGAACATCAGCAAGACCGAGGCCTTTCTGATTGGCTCGCGCCAGCGCCTCCGCACCTCGGGCGCTGGCAGCATCAGCAATCACGGCTGCACACTCAACCTCACTAAGCCAGTCAGGAACCTGGGTATCTTGTTTGACCCTGAACTGTGTTTCTCCCCCACATCCACGCCATGACCGGCGCTGTCTACCATCACCGCCGCAACACTGCTAGACTCCGCCACTGCCTCACCCTCAGGCTGCCGAAACCCTCACCCATGTATTTGGCACATCAAGGCTCGATTATGGAAACTCCTTCCTCATCAGCCTTCCCAACTCTTCCCTTCACAAGCTGCAGATCATCCAAAACTCTGCAGCTCATGTACTCTCGCGCACCGGGCTTCGTGATCCCATCACTCCCACCCTCAGCCGACTCCACTGGCTCCCCATCCCCCAAAAGATCGAATTCAAGATCCTCATCCTCACCTTTAAGGCCATCCCTGGCCTTGCCCCCTCTTACCTCTCTGACCTGCTGACTCCCTACCAAACTGCCCACTCCCTCTGTTCAGCGGGCTCCAGTCTGCTCCATGTCTCCCGCCCGACCCACCCATCGGTGACCGGGCTTTCAGCCCCCCTCCCCCACACTCTGGAACTCCATCCCACCATCCCTTCACCTCGCTTCCTCCCTTGCCCTTGCCTCTTCAAGGCCGGTCTCAAAGACCCTCCTCTTCGATCGTGCCTTTGCTCGCTCTCCCATCTCTCTGTCTTCCCTCACCCCTACCCCAGCCCTCCTCCATGCTCGGGTCCTGACCCCTGATTGTCCAGTGCCTTGGGACGTCCTCCCAACGTGAAGAGCTCTCTATAAATGTAATTTTGTTGTTGTTGTTGTCTCGAAGATGTGATAAGGTGCTATATCAAATGCAAGGATTATTATTATTAGAGATATATGTCTGTCTATCTTACTTCCAGGCCAAATATACACAACAATGAAACAGATACAACACGATTCAACAACAGACTGTGATAACTGACAGCAAATAATAATGATGGTGAAAATAATGATAAAGACCAATCTTGACGTGGAGGTCGTCCCCCTTAAGTTAGACACTGCAATATTAAAACTTTGGCTGAGAGCCGGCGACCACGAGGTAAGCCACACCTCCTCCTTAAATAAGCAAATGGCTCCTCCCATTACACAAAGTATCAGCATGGGTTTTTCCCCACTCCACCTCTTCCCCTCCTCTGTCTTTTCTCTGCAGACTGCTCGGTGCTACCTTCCCTTCCACTTTGGGCAACCTGGTGAATTACACATGAGTGTCCTGCTCCCTCTGCGCCACCACTAGCCCCCCAAAGTCGCCATGCACGTGGGCTAACCATGCCCCACTAACCGCCTGCCTCAAGTCTCGGCGTAGACATCTTGGCTGCCACCCCAGACATGAGCGGTCCTTCCCCCAAAATGCCCCCATCCCTGCAACTCTCCTGCTCTGTCCTTCTCTCTATCCATCCTCCTTGCCTCCCATCCCCACTTGACAGTCCCACAGCCTCCCTCTGCTCCAGCCCGGGAATCCTCTGCCGGCCCCACCGTGACACTCGGCATTGGTTGTCCAGCAGCAGTCACACTGACTGCGCCGTTCCCCACTATCACCTCAAGCCCCGCCGGACCTTCAAAATGTCCGCTCCCTCTGCAACAGGGCTGTGACCAGCAGTGGCCTCATCATTGATGAAAATATCGACATCATGGCCCTCACTGAAACCTGGATCACCCCAGGCAACACCTTCATCCTCACTGAGGCCATCCGGCTATACCCCACATCCCAATCACCGTGGCAGTGGTATGACCCTCATCTCCAGGACTTCACTTGCTCTATCCTCTTACTCCTCTGGCTCATTCCCTTCATTCGAACACCTTATACTCTACCATCCCTCTATTCTTTCCCTTAAAATTTTCCTCATTTACCACCCTCCCAAAACCTCCCCCACCTTCATCTCTGACATCTACACCCTCCTAGCTTCCCTCTGCCTCTGTTCTGAAAGCCTCCTCATCCTCAGTGACTTCAACCTTATTTAAGACCCTAGATTAGTGTTTCCATAGCTGCTCGCAAACACCATGTTTGTCTTGTTTGAGGACTTAATCCTCTTAAACAGGCAGACAACCCCCAACATATAGATTAGTAATATTAATATATAAATATTAATATTTACAATATATTATACAATTATACAGGCCAGATTATGCAAAAATCGAGTAACCATGACATGAAAAAATCATTGTTACTTTTACTTACCTGCCCGTACCCTCCGTTCCTCTGGCTCCGGTCTGCTCCACATCCCCCGCCCCAACCAACCTACCATCGGTGGCCGGGCCTTCAGCCTCTCAACCCCTAGGCTCTGGAACTCCATCCCCCAGTGCCTTCGCCGCCTCCTCCCTTTCCTCCTTCAAGGCTGGTCTCAAGACCTTTCTCTTTGACCGTGCCTTCAGCTCCACTCTCCACTCTCTATCCCCTCCTCGCTCACTCCCTTCCCTCCCCTTGACCATTTCCCCCCAAGGCTTGGGTCCTGACCCAACTGTCCAGCGCCTTGGGATGTCCTCCCGATGTGAAAGGCGCTCTATAAATGAAATCTTGTTGTTGTTAACATCTTTTACCATGAACTTTGCTCATTATCAGAACGTTACATAAAATTGCATATTTTTATGCAAAATATTTCATGTTACAGTACAGTACTGAAGCAGAACATTTGGCCCAACTAGTCCATTGTATTAATACTCGATATGAGCCTCCACCCATTTTAATCCCTCCTCTCCCTCTCCTATATCCCCTTATTCCCTTCTCTTTCCTGTATTGTATATATTAAGTTTAACCTTAAATGCAATGACAATAATAGTAATAATAATACTTGCATTTGATGTAGCACTTTTCACGTCTTCTAGACGTCTCAAATCGCTTCACAGAATAGACTGTAAAGGGAATTGACTGTATATTTGTGGACGAAACGCAACAGCCAATTGCACACAACAGTATCCCACAAAGAGTCGTGGATTAAAGTGACCAATTTATTATTATTTTTTCTTGAGGGATTATTATCAGGCGTGTGGAGTAAGGAAACCTGCCCAAGGTGATGAAATGAACACAGATTATTTCCACTGTTTGGTGAGTCAGTAACAAGAGGGCACACATTTAAAATAATCACAAAAACAAACACAATAAATGCCTGACTCACAGGTGAAATTTTCTGCCACCAACATTTTGTTTGAGATAGAGTTACGTTCTTTTAATGGGGAATTAGATGCTTATTGAAGGACATTTAAAGGCGTTGGGGGAAACGAGCAGTAGAATGGGATTAGATTAGATGGCTCATGCAGAGCAAGACAGCAGCATAGATTTCAAAAGGACCAAATGACCTGTTTTTGTTCTGTAATCTTTGATTCTATGCTCTCTTCTTGTACTTGAAAACCACGATGGAAAAGTACTACAGTGTCTAGATTTATTTTCCATTACTAAAATCGCGACACAGGGACTCCAACCCACGACAAGTATTAATTTGACTCCTCCTGAGCTTCTCAAACCTGTGACTACTTGACGTTTCTCAGACACTCAAACCCTGAGAGTAGCAATATATTACTGTATCATTGTTTTAAGATAGTTCACATGAATAATGCTTACGTAGGTAAAGAGAGATCAAGGTTGAGAAGGGAAACCGAAAAATGTAATACTAATGTATGAAATTATGTAGGTTTGTTTATGCGTATATGTTAAAAAAAGCTAATCCCTGCATTTTTTTTGCCATTTTTGATACAAATCAGCAGTTTTAAGAAATAAAATAAAGTTTTAAGTGAAATACCCAAGTGTACGTGAGTGGGGGGTTGAGGAGAAAGAAAACCATGAACAATCTCTGAAAGAGAACATGACCCTGCAGCAAAAGGCCAAAGGAGAACATAGAAATACAGATTCAGCAAATAAGGTTAGATTGGCTGAGATGAATTGTGACTTACATTGGATCAAATTGTCTGGAAATGGAACAATTACAGCCATTTTCCAGTCTGCAGTGAAACTTGCATTCACTGTCATCTCTTTGAGGCAATCAACTGTGGACAAACAGTAGGTAATCAGTGTGTCACACAGCATCAGGGAAATTTAAATCCTTCTGAAAATGTTTAATATTTTTTATTACTAGGAATTCCTATTGTATAAACTGTTCTCTTTTCCACCACCTTATCTGAATCGACATGATTGACAGATGCAACAATGCCTATGCTCCAATACCAGATGCTGCCTCAGACTGGAGATCTGAGTGCCTGTTGCAGAGAACTAGGTAGCTCTAGTCTCAGACTCACCATGAGGTAAAATAGCAAAAAGGTCAGTTGAAAGCAATCTCATCTTGCAGTAACACACCTCCAGTTAAGTGATCAGGGAATGTCACAGGCTACAAGTTAACAATTGGATTTTGTCACTTACCTCTTGCAGCTGAGAGTATCACTTGAAGCCACAGAGAACAACCCATCTCCTCTGAACTAATCTGAAGACTCTTTTATTGATGCGGGCAATGCAACAAATCAAGCTGAATTTGCCAGCTCCCTCCCGAAGCAATCTTTCCAACTAAACAGATCTCAACTCAAAAATTACAGACCTTTGTGAAGTTACAAAGGAGGAAGTACAAGACAAAATTAGTAAAATTATATAAGTTGTTACTGACTTATATCCCCGGCTTGACTCACGTGCCGTCTTGACTTCGCTGGACTTCCCAACTCTTCCCAACTCCACAAGCTGCAGATTATTCAAAACTCTGCAGCTCGTGTCCTCTCCCACACCAAGCTCTGTGAACCAATCACCCCTGTCCTTGCCCAGATTCACCGGCTCCCCATTCCTCAGAGAATCAAGTACAAAATCCTTGTTCTAACCTTCAAAGCTTTCCATGGTCTTGCTCCCACCTACCTCTCTGACCTCCTAACCCTATATCAGCCTGTCCAATCCCTCTACCCGGCGGACACCGGCCTGCTTCAGGTCCCTCCACTTCCTGCTCCACTATTGGTGGTCGGGGATTCAGCATCTCTATCCCCACATTCTGGAGCAATATCCCGCAATCCCTCCGTCTCACCGCCTCTTACCTCCTTCAAGTCACGTCTAAAGACCTTCCTCTTCAGCCACCCTCCAACCCACACCCTCTCTGCCCTCCATCCTTCCTGACCCCAACTCCCAGTTCGGGTTCAAAAAACCCTGACTGTCCAGCTCCCTGGGACATCTTTCCAAAGTGAAGGGCGATATACAAATGTAATTTGTTGTTGTTGTTATGCAATAAAAACTAGAATAAAATTACTCAAATAATTATTACATTTCATTGTCTTATTTTTAAGTCTTATAGTTTACCATTAAAGGTCTTGTGTTTTATCAAGTCAAAACTAATTATTGTGGGTATTAGAATGTTAGAAAACAAATTCAATCATTTCTCTAGTTAAAGGGAAGCAAATATGGTGCAAAAAGCAATTTAGTATTCAGCCATAATGTACGAATGAAATGTGCTAATAATGTCCTAAAGTTACCAACATCATGTAGCCTAGCTGCATCAACTTCATATCGTAGGAAGGGCAATTGGCTTAAAGAAAGCATTTAGCAAACTACTTTAAAATAGAAAAAAAGAAGCTGCCCTTTTAAGGGAGATACAGGTTAACACGGGCAGCTGTTAAATTAACTTATGTTTCTCCGCACTATACAGTTAAATTTAGCTTTTCCTGGGGTATAATAATCCATTCAAATGAAAATCAATAAGAATAATTTGGTCACTCAATCCATGATCGTTTGTGGGACACTGCTGTGTGCAATTGGCTGCTGCGTTTCACCCACAAAATATACAGTCAATTCACTTTACAGTGTATTCTATGAAGCGCTTTGAGATGTCTCGAAGACATGATAAGGTACTATATCAAATGCCAAAGGTTATTATTATTAATATCAAATGCAAATATTATTGATTATTTATGTCATGTTTCCTGGGCATTTTTTCTCCCTTATAATAATAATCCTTGCATTTGATATAGCGCTTTTCACGTAAGGAGGACGTCCCAAAGCACTTCACAGAACACACTGTAAAGTGAATTGACTGTATATTTGTGGGCGAACGCGGCAGCCAATTGCGCACAGCAATGTCCCACAAACAGTCATATATTGAAAATTACCAATTTATTATTGTTTTGGGTTTTTGGAGGGATTATTATTAGGCGTGTGGAGTAAGGAAACTTGCCCAAGGTTTCGCCCTCTGCCTGGAATTGAACTCAGGTCTCTCGCTTGCAAAGCGAGTGCTCTAACCACTGAGCTACAGGACTCCACAATTTAACTTGAAATTATCCAATTTAACTTGAAAAAAAATCAGATGAATTGACCATTTGTAATCTTGGTGCAATTGGTTGATGTATATCATTACATAGCAATATATACAAATGTATTTTTTTTAATTCTGAGTGCTTTGAGATGTTTTGCTATGCTATGTTTTTGCATTATTAGCTGTCATTTCCATCGCATGGAAGTCATATGCAGATGACACGTCATTTTGACATCCCACTGTACACTTACTAAACACTTTCCCATGAAGGCTGCGCTCTTTCAGTGAGCTACAGGTAATACAGGCATTAGCAAACCACCACTACTGTGAAGTGCCTTGGGTTTTTCAATGCTTCACAGCTGTTTTACCCAATTTCTGCCACTGGATGTAGCCAGAGTGCCAGAGGCTCATTTGGTTCATTTCTAAGATGCTCTTCTCTGTTGGAGAAATTGCACCTTGGTCTAGATTTACCCTATTTTTGTAGCATTTAAATTACAAAAAAAAAGCTTCAAAGGTAAGACTGAATTCAACACTTTACCAAAGACTGAACACTCTGAGATGCTACAAAAATAAAATAACTTTAGACCCAAGTGCAATTTCTCCCTAAGATTTACATGGTAGGGTCACTTTGAATGCGATTTGACTATTTTATTCCCTTAATGCCACTTTACATACAAGTTTCTCATAAGAACACTACTTTTTTCTCTTTCGCTCTTTATTCCGAACCAGCACATTGATTACCTGGGGAGCTCGGCCCCGCTTGTTTTATTATTGGTTGGTCATTAGTCTGGCCTCTCAACTAAGTGTTAAACACAGGAAAAGCTACAACTTTCAATTTCATGAAACCCGGAGATTTTACTTAGTTAATTTTTAAAGGCAATTCTACATCTGTGTCAATGAGTAAATTAATCATTTCAGTCACTATTCCCCTTAGTATCCTTTGATGATCAGTCTTCTTGATCAGTCAATAGCAGCACAGAGCAGAGATTTCCCCCCAGTGTACACAGGGAGAAGGACATAGAGGAATATGAGAGAAGGGATGAGGAAAGGTCATATGGAGCTCAGGACTGGTACAGACTAGTTGGTCTGAATGGCCTGTTTCCATAGTGCAGCATTCTATATAATTCTGTGTAACCCAAATTAAACTTCCAGGTCTCTCTGAGCAATTTCTCAATAATACTTGTACTAATCCTAATGTCTGCAATCAAAGTTTTAAAAGATCAATCCTCTAAATTTCCAAACTTCTAATGAGATTGCCAACATTGGGGTGCAAAATGCCATATGTAAAATGATGATTAATGATAATTATCACATCACACACTGCATTTTGAACCCATTTTGGGCTAAGTTCCTATTGTGAACACACAAGGGAGCAAGGAGGAAAATGGGATTAGATCAGGTGGGTCAAGTGAGGAAAACAGCAGCAGAGAATGGCCCAAGTAGCTCAAGTTCCTCATGAAGTATTTTTAAGATGTCCTTCCAATGAGAAAGGCACTTCATAAATGTAAAGTGTTATTGTTTCTGTGCGGTAACAATTTATGATTGTATAAAATGTGCTCTCTATAAGATATGGCAAAAATGTCTTGGCCATTATATAATAAAGCTGCCTTCTAATTTCAGTTGTGTCTCACAGTCTAACCATTTTGTTTTCTCTCTGATTCCTTAAGTCACTTCCTGCTCATATGAGTTACCTAACAGCAGCACCATGTAACGTGTACACTGGTGCAGCGCCACGTAATGTGAACACTGGTGCTGACGGTCAAAGAGCACAGTGAAGAGCATTTTCTTCTTGTACTGTATCAAATTCTTGTGATAATAGGGAGAATGACATCTAGTGGCTGAAATGTGCAAAAATTACTTTACAGGAGTGAGAGAATTTGCAACATCCTCTGCTCCTCACAGCAGCCATATTTGTAGAGGTGTAGATCTTCTTGAAACTAAATTCATTATCTCAGTCATTCACCGCTGAAGCAAAATCTGTACAGAAACACAGAGGGATAACATTGTTTAAAGATTAGAATAAAAAATCACAAAATGAGAGACTTGGTCTATCAATGCCGGCTACAATACAGTAGGATCCATATTTAACTTCTTGTTCTGCAGAAATGCCTCCTCCCAAAGGTAATCAAATAAAACACAACAATAATAATCCTTGCATTTGATATAGTGCCTGATCACGTCTTCGAGACATCTCAAAGCGCTTCACCAAATATACTGTAAACAATACCCAGCATTTTGCATATACAGTATTCACTATCCTTCCAGATTTTAGCCTTCCTTCACCCTCTTCACAGTTGTACAGGCTGTCCTATCCCTTGGAGTATAGAGAACATTTTCTATAGTTAGGACTGTGAATTTTATCAAAGAGGGCAGTTCATTTCCGCACAGAGGGGTAAAGTTTGCCTGGAGAAATTCCCTTCTCTTTTCAAGTAATGTTATGGGATCTTTAACATCCACCTGAACAGGCAGACAGACCTCAGTTTAACATTTCATCTGAAGGACACCTTCTCCAACAATGCAGTACACCCCAACCATTGCATTGGAGTGCCAGCCGAGACTATATGAGTTCAACGTCCCAACTTGAATCCATAACCTTCTGATTCAGAGGCAAGAGTGCTACCAACTGATTCAGGCCTACAGACCCAGATGGAATTTCTATCCAGTGATTGTTCTACATTTGATCTGCGTTTTGACACCACCAATGAAATATTAGTTGACACAAAGCCTTAAAGAGTCCATTTGGAGCCACGTGACCACATTACCAAAATAGCATGAATGGTGTTCTTTATATTTACCTAAATTTGTAAAAAGAATACAAGGTGAATTTAACTAGTTATGATTTATTAGGATCCTCTGAAACATGGAGCACCACTCAGATACACACACAGGTGAGCAAAACATGCATGAGGGAACTGACATGCTACATTCATTAACTCCACTATTTGTTCAATCAGAGCACTCACCTCGCAAGTGAGAGATCTGGGTTCGATTCACGAGCAGGGCAAAACGTTGGGCAAATTTCCTTACTCCTTACACCTCGGTTTATCTAGCAATAAGTAGGAACCCGGTTGTTAGTCGATTGGCAGATGGTTTTTTCAGGGGTAATAATTCCTTAAAATAAAAACTAAAATTGGTCACTCAATCCACGATTGTTTCTGGGACCCTGCTGTGTGCAATTGGCTGCCACGTTTCACCCACAAAATATACAATCAATTTACTTTACAGATTATTCTGTGAAGCGCTTTGAGACTCAGTGAGGTGGATGCACATTCCACCTCACTGAGCCAGTCCGGAACCTTGGCGTCTTCTTTGACACGCAACTATACTTTCTACCCCACATCCATCCCACGACCCACTCTGTCTTACCCCACATCTGCAACATCGCCTGGCTCCGCCACAGTCTCACTCCGCAGGCCGCCAAAACCCTCATATACGCAATCGAAGCTGACTATGCAAATCCGTTTGCTGACTATCCATCCGTTTGTTGGCCTCCCAAACTCCATAGGCTGCAGATCATCCAGAACTCTGCAGCCCGTGTCCTCTCCCGCACCAGGCTCCGTGACCCTATCACCCCCATCCTCGCCCGACTCCACTGGCTTCCCATCACACAGAGGATACAGCTCAAGATCCTGGTCCTCACCTTCAAAGCCCTCCATGGCCTTGCTCCCCTTTACATCTATGACCTCCTAAACTGCTACCAACCTGCCCGCTCCCTCCACTCAGCGGGCTCCAGCCTGCTTCACATCCTCACCTCGCCCACCCCACCATTGGCGGGCCTTCTGCCACTCTGCCCCCACCCTCTGGAA